TCAGGACTAAGTAGATCTTCATACTTTTCTTTAGGTCGGAACAGATCCTTATTCACATCAAGTGATCGAACCACCATCGGAGTACTTAATGGATGTGCTACATCCATGTAAAACCGTTTCAGTACCTTTTTCGTGTAGGCAGATTGATGAAAAAATCTTGTTTTTCAAATATTCAATTTGCAAACCGAGACATAATTTTGTATTTTTGAGATCTTTCATCTCGGATTCCTTCTTTAAATAATCAATTGCCTGTTGGAGTTCTATAGGAATTTCAATAAGGTTTATATCATCAACATATACGACAAGTACAATAAAGTCCAATGTTATTTTATTTATAAAAACACATAGACAAATGACATCATTGATATAGCCTTCCTTTAATAAATACTCACTAAGGCGGTTATACAATATTCTTTCTGACTGCTTTAGACCATACAAAGATCTTTGCAATTTGATTGAAAATATTTCTCGGGGCTCTGAATTATGTGCGTCAGGCATTTTAAATCCCTCAGAATTTTCATGTATATCTCATTATCAAGTGAGCCATAAAGGTATGCGGTAACCACATCCATTAAATGAATGTCAAGCTTTTCATGGACAGCAAAACTAATAAGATAACGAAATGTTATTGCATCAATAACAGGTGAATAAGTCTCTTCATAATCGACACTAGGCCTTTGTGAAAATCCTTGTGCAACAAGGCGTGCCTTATATATTTGTACCTCATTTTTCTCATTTCTCTTACGTACAAAGACCCATTTATAGCCAACAGACTTAACAACATTAGGTGTTTGTACTACATGCCCAAAAACTTCACGTTTCTTAAGTGAATCCAACTCAGATTGGATTGCTTCTGACATTTTGGCCAATCACGTCTTTGTCGACATTCTCCAACAGATTGAGGTTCAAGATCCTCACTATCTTGTATAATTCTAGATGCAACATTATATGCAAAGACATAATCCACCACTATATCAAATCGATTCAATTGTCTCAATATCGATTGGTTTTATTGATAATTCCTTATTTTCTTGAGTCTCAGGCTCATTGATTTCCTCATGAATCTCAGGATTGGTTAAATCATGTGTTTCTTTACGAGACTCATTCGTTGTGCCATCTTGATAATTTATTTTTCTTTTCTAGGATTTCGATGCTTAAAACCCAATGGTCTGCCACACTTTAGGCGTGCTTTTGACTCATTAGCTATGACACTAAAAGATTGACATCAATATAGATTGAAATATTCTCTGCAGGAATATGTGATTTCGTTATCCTTTTTAGATCCGTAAATGCATATGACATTTGATTTGCTATTTTCTGCAAATGGATAATCTTTTGCACCTCTTTTTCACAAATAGAGGCATGTGGATCAAGATGTAACAATGATGGATTTTTCACAAAATTTCCCGTTTGACTTCACCAATTTCTCCCGCTAATTTTGGAAAAAATGCCTCATCGAATCGACAATCTGCAAATCGAGCTGTGAACAAATCTCCCGTTAATGTTTCGAGGTAGCGAATAATGGAGGGAGATTTAAACCCAACATATATTCCTAACCTTCTTTGGGGACCCATCTTGGTGCAATATGGCTGTGCTACATGCACATATACTGCGCACCCAATTTTTTTAAAATGGGATATATTAGGTTCATGACCCAAAACTAATTGCAACGGGGAATATTTATGATAATTTATCGGTCTGAGATGAACTAGCATTGCTGCATCCAAAATGGCATGAACCCAAACCGAAGTGGGTAACCTTATTTTCATGAGTAACGATCTTGCTACCAATTGCAAACGTTTAATCAAAGGCTCTGCAAGGCCATTTTGAGTGTGAACATGAGCTACAATATGTTCCACTTCTTATCCCAATTGATAAACAATAATCATTAAATGCTTAGGATAAAAACTTAACAGCATTATCAAGTCTAATAGACTTAATTAGATTATCGGAAAATTATGCCCGTAATCGGATTATTTGTGCCATTAATTTTATAAATGCCAGGTTGCGAAATGACAATAGGCATACATGGGACCATATAGAAGATGCATCTATTAAGACCATAAAATATCTAAACGACCCACTAGGTGGGTGAATAGGTTCACAAATATCCCCTTGTACACGTTCCAAAAATGCAGAGAACTCAATCCCAACCTTTGTTGGTGATGGTCTAATAATTATCTTGCCTTGATAACAAGAAGTGCAAGAAAATTCGTTATTTAAAAGAATCTTTAAATTCTTTAATGGATGCCCATTTGAGTTCTCTATAATTTCCCTAATCATAATTGATCCAGGATATCCCAATTGATCATGCCAAAAACAAAAGTATTGGAATCACTAACCGTTTGGTTTACGATAGAATGTGCCTCAATTGCACTAATTCTTGTCCAATACAGGCCACAGGATAAAGATGAGAACTTATCAATAACTCTTTTCAGGCCAGAGACATTCTTGGTAACGATGAGATATTCAAGATTATTCTCATATATTGTCTCAATATGATATCAATTTCGGCAAATATCTTTAAAACTCAACAAGTTCCTCTTGGACTTGGAGGAGAACATTGCATTATCTATGATAAGTAGTGTTCCCCTAGACAGAGTTATAGTAGCTCTTCGAGAGCCTTCAATTAGATTACTACTATCAGAAATTGTAGTAACATCTGCCTTACACATACTTAAATGAGAAAAATATTTCTTATCTTTGAATATCGTATGTGCCATACATGAATCATTTAAACAAATATTTTTACAATTGGACTTTGATCCAAGCTTGCTTCGAGAGATATCCATATTTGCTTTCCATGGTTTGACATACAAAAAGAAATATATGAATAAGCATTAGTATTTTCAGAGAAAAAAAAAAAAAGTTAAACCAATGATTCAATAATAATCTTTTAATGCAATTTCGAGCATAATCGTAGCTAAAAATACAATCGTGCTTTAATTACACTTATTACTTTTTCAAAAGTTTCCACCATGCTAATAGTAGAAAAGTAGTACTTTCTCTTTCAAAGTGAATCACCAACTTTAAAAAATATTTTAATCGTAGTGATTAATTTCCTTTCTTCTCTGCTAATAGTAGGAAAGTAATATTTTCACTTTCAAAGTTAGCTCAAATTCAGATGAACGGTAAAAGCAAGGCAGTCAATTATTAACTTGGTATAGTAATAAAGAAATAAATTAATGTTCCATTCAAATCCTACAAATCGACAATTGGGCACTAATAACATGATTCACTTGCTAATATACTCGCATTAATTTGGCATCATTTTCTAATTACGTGAAATCTTTCAAAGTTAATCCTTTTTTTTTTCCAACTCAAGTAACTAAATATTCTTTTCACATCACAACGCTACTTTAGTAAAGAATATGTTAATCCTTGAAAACTAAGCAAGCCGAAACATTGTTTAAAATTAATACTAGAACTATATTTAATCAAAACGAACTAACATTATTTCATGAAATAAATAATACTAACTGATACTAATAACTACTGCTCAATTAAAGAAATGTGATTACATGATGTTTATTCACTAGTTACTACGAATAGGCAAAAATAAAAAAAATAAAAACCAAACTACTCAATCATCTTTAACCACAGATCCATCACCGATCAAGTGGTCTATTTTTCCATCAGGGTACTCAAAGAAGTCTGCCACATCCAAGTGGGTGATGTCAAATTAATTGTCAGAAACAAAATTAGTTCCAGGGCCTTTATTCTTTTAAAGAAGCTTGATAAAGTTCAATCAAATGTTTTGGTGTACGACAAATATTTGCCCAATGCCCTTTTCCACCGCAACGATAACATTCAGTTTCTGAACCCTTTGCTTTTGGCTTCTTATTTTTTCTTTTTCACTTTTGGTAATTATTTTTCTTTGGGGATTAACACCAAGAAAATTTCTTCCTTGGCCACGGCCACGAACAGGGCCACGACCTTTTTCACACTTAGCATAATGGGAATATACCTCATCTACTTTAGGTAATGGTGTAGACCCAGTAGGTCGATTATCGTGATTTCTCATGAGCAATTCATTGTTTCGTTCAGCCACAAGGAAAAGAGAAATCAACTCAGAGTACTTCTTGAAATATTTCTTTTGGTACTGTTGTTGCAGGACCATATTAGAAGCATGAAACGTTGTGAACATTTTTTCAAGCATATCATAGTCTGTGATACTATCTCCACATAGTTTCAATTTAGAAGTAATTTTGAACATCGCGAAATTATATTTAGAAAAAGTCTTAAAGTATTGGAGCCTCATGTGAGCCCAATCATAGCGTGCTTGTGGAAGTATGACCAACTTTAAGTTGTCATATCTTTCCTTTAAGCCATTTCACAAAACAAATGGATCTTTGATTGTGAGATATTCTATTTTCAAACCTTAATCAAGGTGATGACGCAAGAAAATCAAGGCATTAATACAGTCTTGAGTAGATGCTTTATTTTTATCTTTAATGACGTCACCAAGACCCATTGCATCTAAATAGATTTCAGCATTCAACACCCATGACATATAGTTCTTGCCCAAAATTTTAAGGGCAACAAACATTATTTTCATAATATCAGTTATAATTAAAAAAGGAGAAAAATTATACCTTAGTTTTCTCAAAAAATTTCTTGAGACGTTAGAGTTTCGTGCTGATAACATATTATGGAATAATATGAAATAAAGTGAAACAAGAGAAATTTAGAGAGAGATAGGTGAGCAAGTAACCAATCTTGGTGACCAAGTAACTAGACTAGTTTATGACTAACTATCTTGCTCCCAAGTAACTTCCTAATACATGAACATTCACTTTTAAAGTTATTTATAACAATTAACTTATTATAGTTCATTAATATATATTCTTACCTGGTTAAATTAATTAAGTAGTAAATATTGTTTGCTGTACGCGTAAATATTTACCTCATATATAATATTTAGATTTGGAGCTGCAAATTGGGGGTATTTATTTACTTCCCCATATTAATTAATGGGAATAAAAATAAAAAAGGAAGATTAGCTAGTAGTAGTAGCTTATTGGGTATAACACCATAATAAGGTTTTCTGATGGGTTCGGATCAACCCGTTTTGTTCTGATCAAATCTCCAAATTCGTTGATGCCGGAGTAAGAGTGAGAGTGGCATGGCGGAGGAGGCATTGGCCATAGCAGAAGGGAAATACACATACGTACACGAAGTGGGTAAAGGCCCACCTGAAGCCATTGACGCCCACCATATTGTGGTTCGAAGGAGTAGAGAAAAGGGTTCCAATTTATGCCTCTTTACTCTTCTCCTTTTTGCCTATCCCTCCTTCCTCGTATTCCGGCAGGTAATATTATACCTCCAATTTATAACAGTTAAGGGCATTATTCACTTCGCACTATCAATTAGCTGCTTCTCAATCTCAAACTAATATGTCTCTGTCTATTCGAGCCCATTTCATTTTTTTTTCCCAAGGTCAATTTCATTTCATTACTATATAATTCGTCTTTTAAGATAAATTAGAAAATCTCTAAGTTTCATACTATGGAAGTGTAATAATCACAAACCTTAGTTAACTTAGCACTGGTTTCTATAATTAATAGCACCAATTTATTTAATGCCTTGCTTCTTTATTCCACCACCCCCCC